TCGAGAATCGCTAACGAAGTTCTCTAATCTCTTCAAAGATATCTAATTTTACCATAACACTTGATTCACAACTTTTGATTCACATCTTTTTTCTACATATTAGTTCAGACTTCTGTTCTATTTGCTATCTATTTAAAATACGATTAAATCATTTCTTTTTCCGATTCGAAAAATCATCCTTGAAGAGATTAAAACGAACAAACTGGAGTTTACAGGAGTTGAACGAGTCTTCTAAACTTATTTCATAAATAAACTATGGATATATTTCGATAATGCAATATACAGGATATCGAAATGTTTAAGAAATTAATTAAAATGTAACGAATTAAATGTTGAATCCATAAATGAAGCTTAATTGAACTGAAGATTAAAGTTTGGAACTTTGGTAATGTAAAAAAGAGCGAAGAATGTAAGGTATTTTGGAGGGTGGAACCGTCCAAATAGCGTCGACGAACATCGAAGAACCTGGACACGTTGAAGAACGATCTTTCTGCACGTTTGCTACTTGATATGCCCAGTTATTGTAAACGCTACGCCTCGTGTCGAGGCACGTGCATCTACTTTACATCTCTATCGTCTTCTTAGACCTCGTAACAAGAATCCGTCTTGAAAATAATGATACTAAAGCATTGACGTAACTAGGATTTTTGTCTGGGGTGGGTTAGATCCCCTAGCTTCACTAATTAGTACTTATGCCCACTAGATTGGGTTCTGGTTTCTACATTGGGTTTTCAAAATTTGAGAACTGAGAAATTGAGAATTTGTAAAATTGGGGGTTGAAAATTTGGAGATACAGGAATTTGGAAATTTAGGTATTTGGGCACTTGATAATTTGGAAATTTAGGTATTTGGAGATGTAGCGATTTGTGAATGTAAGAATTTGGAAATTCAGGTATATGGACACTTGGTAATTTGGGACTTTAAGAATTTGGAAAATGTACTTGTGGACTCAGTAATTTAAGACTTCGGAAATTTACATATCTAGTAATTTGGAAGTTTGTAATTTTAAAAATTTATAAATTTTCTTATCCGAAACACGCTATATTCTACATCCATATGAAGGATCCATCCCGGCCCCCAGCTAGTTACGGCAATGCGCTAAAATGTACCTTACGAAAATAAAAGGCTTCACAATCTACCGTACACGGAACGTGACGCTCTACCGAAACGAATAACGTCTTTCTCTAAACCTTATACAGTGTACAATACAGTGCGACTTCGGTCACAATGATCGTAATATTGTGTAATCGCAAATTACTCTGTAATTTCAACGCACGATCTATGTATTTAATTCGTGTTTTACGATGCACAAAATGATCGGTAGTAGACATATGTATACGTACATACGTATCTGTACAATAACATTACAGTAATACCACTTGTGGTTGCTCATGAAGTGTTCTCTCTGCTTTTCATTAACTCTTTCTGTTTCTTAACGTACACAACTATCTTTAACCTTTCGTGGTCCTTGTATTCTCTGTTTTAAACACAACGAATTTATTCTGAATCAATACCTTTTCTTAATATACTGTAACCTTTTTTGGATGTAAAATCAAGAATAAAAGATCTTCCAATATTTCGTTTAGCTATGAATTTTAAGAGAACATTTTTAACTCGTAGCAAACACATTTGGATCGCAAAAGGTTAACAACCAATACAGTAGTAATCTTAAAATCACGGACCAGAGCTGTTCACTGTCGATATACGATCAATCTTATTTTAGTTTACGAGTGCGACGTGCTTTCGATGAGAGAGTGACTTCGAACAATTAGTTTTTTATATATTCAAGAGAATGTTTATCTGTAAAACTCTATCTATCCGTATTGACAAATATTTTTAACAAGATTTTCTCTATCAATTTCGTATTTAAATAAGTAAAAATAATAGACTAGATTTGTTATAAATACTTGATGTGTTATATATTACTATGACAATTTATATATTATTTCTTTAATTTATCAATGCAACAATTTTCAATAGTTGCAACGTAGTCAATTAATAATTACTTATATTAATTCTGAATAGACTTTTACTCAAACACATTTCTGTTCTTGGCAACAGTTCAAATACCAAGAGTAATTCATTGAACTCGTCACACACATTACTTAATACATTCAATTTCTAAAGAGTATTCTCCCAATTAATAAATATAAACAATAATAACAAAAATTCCATAATTTAATTATGATAAAATTCAGATAAACAGACTTTTACAGAAACATTCTTCGATCAGCACCAACTACAATCTTCAAAATATAAGCCACAATAAATTTAGATCAAAATAAATGCATCTATGCAGTAAAGGCTCGTAAATGAGTATCATTAGGCCCATTTAATATCGAAACGAATGTAGCAGAGCAGGTCTCGCTGAGTTTCCTCGAACAGAAGAGTGGAAACAATGTGTTTGAATGTGCTATTGGAACAAGCACGAAAGGGTGCAGTGACGCGAGGAACTTTTCTCTAAATTTATCATCTAACCGGGCAGAGCTTTGCTGTAACGAAAAATAATATTCTCTCTCTCTGGTTTTGTAATTGCACTTTGATCATCGTCCTCGATCTCATATTTTCCGCACGTCACTGCACAAAAAGATCAGCTATATAATTCGAAGGTTCGAAATCGCTCTGATTGCGTAGAACCGCTATATACGATGACGATAACACGTTTAAATAGTGCGTCGAACCGTTCGTCGCTAATATTTATGCTTAAATATATGTATCTTTAATGAGAAACTGTCGGCGAAATGGAACAACCCAAAAAAATAAAAGTAATGTTGCTGACACAAGCTTTGACAAAAATTGTGAAGATCTGATAAAAATATAAAATTATATATAGAAAGTACAATTTATAATTGTTTTTAACACAATGAATAAATGCTTGTTTTGCAAAATTACGTATCACAGACGATAGCTTATATTTCTGATCAACAGAAACTCTTACAGATAAGATACGACTTTGAAAATATCAGTAATTGTCTACAGATTTGAAACGACTTTGCAAATTACACTCAAAGTATCAGATCGAACAAATATCTTTTTAAATTTATTGCATACAATGATAACAATTTTCTAAACAAGTCTAACTCACTTTTAACAATGTATTATGCATATAAATTCTTGAAGTACTCTGTACTATAATAAAAATAATTAAATATAAATATAATAAGATTTTAAAAATTAGTTTAAATTGTGAACGTTCCGTTTCCCCGTACGCTTCCCTTCCACACAATCTTATGTAAAAATATACATAGAATATATGCATATAAATATTACGAATATCGTATAATCAAATATGCGCTATTTATCGAACGCAGTGATGGTTACGCAAACTCGAAAGCACGCCACACCGTTAGTCATAAATGTGTCTAACTACAAGAAACGTGTTAATACATTGTGTGTTTAATTTTTATGTATGTACATGAACAGTCAATTGGGTTTTGTCAAAGCACGATCGAGGAGCGTTAGGAAACAACAAATACCATTCGAAACAAAACGCAGCTCCCGAACATGCTTGCTTAACGTGATATACATTCAATTATACATTAGAACGATATACGACCGCTATTATACGCATATATGTATATTATATGTATTAATCTGATCCGGTATCGTTAGTGTCAGTTTTAGGTTTCATTTAGAGAGAGAGGGATTCGCAACTCAGGATTTTCATGCAAAATCCTCGAAGCACGCTACGCTATATCACATCCTATGTCTGAGCACGTTTCTTTTTTTGTCAATAATATTTCGTAAGGATTAGCTAATGTGTATGTATATATACATACATATATTTATAATCTTCATACGGTTTATGTTTTATATTGATATAGATAAGAATGAAACTAATCATGGTGAACATGTTAAGAGGTAGAGAAACAGTGTGGTGACATGTTTTTTTTGTTTTAGTCGCGCAATTAATATAATTACTGATTGCTTAAACTTATAGTCGGTGTTAATACAATCGTCGCCGATAGAAATCGATCGAATACGATAAAACGAACCGTCAACGTTCGATCTTCACACCAACAGCATGACATTTTTCATCCGCAAATTTGTTCGCGAGTGATCGACGACGACGACTTCCTTCTCCGTGGAATTCCGCCTAATCGAAACTACCTTTTGATCACATTATAGGGTTCTGGTAGACTTTCCAGGATAGACTCACTGGAGATACTAGTAATATCGATATCTAACGAGCTTAATGTCCGCCCTTCTTTTAACATACGTCTCTATCGGCAAAAAGATCACCGGTCTTTCGTGCGACCCGTGTTCCAGCGAAATTTCGAAAGCAAAAAACGACAGCTACTAAAAGCTACTGTTACATCTCGGATTCATCGACGAATCTCTCGATGTTCTACTACTTTATTCGAGTGTTTTCTCTTTTTGTCGCTCATGGGCGATTATATCATAACGTACACACGCGGTTACTCTACGGTTCAAAGCACATTTATTTCCTTTCAACGGCTAACCACATTACGAGGCGTGAACGATACACATGGAATGTTTCGAAGAAAGTTTACGCGACTTACAAATATACGGAGGTACTCTCTTAATCGTATTCCCTACACTCTGCGTGCTATACAGCACATATTATATTACGAGCATAACGTTCTCTTTCTGTGTATCATCGCGTGTCTACTTAACGACATACAGCTTCGACGGCATCATCATCGTCATCGTCGCGGTGAATCCAATTTCTCGGATCATGCAAGAGAGAAAGAGAGAGCGGGCGGTGGGACAAATATGTGTATGTATATATATATAAAGAGAGAGACAGACAGAGAGCAAAAAAGATTAAAAAAAGTATAGCTGGTTACGCGCAAAACTGTTATTGGTATCACTCTATCGAGAGAAAAACAGCGAGACATCGAATTAGTAGTGTTCATTCTCAACCCTGAACAGTCTACCATCTACTTGCGCAACTTAAATAAGGTGTACCCATGTAATCGTGGTTAAAGGGGCAAGATCATCGATAATAGAAAATTATGGACTGCGAGTCTATTTACTTGATCTTGAATGCGTCCATCAGCTCGTTCACAGCGGCGTTAGCAGCGGCCTGCGTCGCAGCTTGCGTCACCCTCTGTTGTAGACCACCCCCACGACTAAACATACACCACGGACACTCAGCTTTTACTACTGATCTCATATAGATCTTGTTGCAATTACTTAATATTTATTAGTACTATACAAATTTCGATTATACTAGAGTACTAGTATATCGCGCACACTACGTCTCAAGTCAGGCGTGACCAAACTTCTTCTACGACCACAGTCTCTAATCTGCTTCTTAACAATAATGTATATGGAAATTCAAATGTTCTGGGAATCTATGGATCTGGGAATTTGGAGATATAATAATCTGAGCGAAGAATGTGAGATGAAGCTTCCCTTCAAAAAGTGGGGGATTCAAACGTGATTCAAGAACCACAGCTTGGTCATACCTGTCTTAAGATTTCAAACGTTTCCATCATTAAAAAAAGAAAGTTCGTGTAAGAACTTGGCCATGCCTGTGATCTCAACGTTTGCATTATCAGATAAAACTCGTGTAAGAACGAGAGTTCACGTTCGAATCGAGCACGCGATACTTTGTCTAATGATAAATGCTTTTCAATGCAGGCACCGACACGTACGTTCCTAATTGATAATTGACTACATTCCATTTGATTTTCTATGCGGATGTTCGATCGAACGAACGAATGAACGAACACTAGCAAGAAAGCGATGATAATAATAGGGAGACTTGAAAGCTGTTGGGCATGTAACACGTTGTTTGCGAAACACATTATCGTGTGTTGCATTTTCAAACAGTTCCTTCTTTTACGGCGAGTGAAACGATTACTTCTATAGACGCATGGAAAATGCGACCTCGACGAGATGCGGCGCTTCCGTAGTAAAAATGTCATGCTGTTAGTAAGCGAATGAATACTTGTCCGTCTGGTGATCAACCCAAGACCATTTATTTTACAACGTTTTTGTAGTTGTATATACAGGCATCATGTACAATTCCATCGAACTAATTTACAATGAAACAAACGTCGCTCTACCTACGATTTCATTCGTCACGAACGAACTTCATTTAATTCTAAGTTGTTTTTCTTCATTTTTACTAATACCGATTAAATGTATCGTAAACACTTCGGAATTTTAATTAGAGTTGTGCGAAACAATGTGTATTTTCTTTCAGAATGATCGTGAAAACGAGCATAATATTTTATCTATCGTTCGAAAGTAAAAGAACAAACGATTGAAAATACGAGTAATGATTTCTTGGTCGTTCTTACGAAATTGGACCGCTCGAAAACAAATGCAGATTACTGGTTAGTAGAAGGAGATAAACGATTCATCGAAATTGGAAGCTCTTCTCTTAACTAATACAAATGTGGTTCGCTCGTCCTCGTATCGCACACCTCTAATTAAATAATAAATCCGTAATCTGTAATGTTTGCAGACAAAACATGTAGCATTAGGAAATTGTATCTCGTGTAAAATGTACACTGACTAGATGCAATCGATATATATATAATGATTAGTAGCGATTAGGCGAGTTAGTGCGAAGACTTATTGTCGGCGCCTGCAATAGAAAGTGAAGTTAGCACCAAAGCCCCAATCACACAAAGCTAACAGAGACAAGCAATTGCAAGTTTCTGTTTTTAATTTTTAACGATATTTTAGTGAACATCATTGAATGAAGATTAAATTGAAAAAGGACCTTCACCGTGTTGATAAGTCACAGGTCTACCTTAACACAAAACCGACAAAACGTTGTGCAAAATTCGTCACGTGAGGAAGTCAATGATTGAAAAGTACTTGATAGTACAAAGCATCTTAACTGAACCGTAAGTCCTTTCAAAATTCTCTGTACTACTTCACGAGTTATCTATATTTTTGATAAATTAAACAACATAAATTAACGGGTACTTACGATGGTACCATAGGAGGAGGTAGGCCAGGTGTAGAACGGGCCGGTGGTGGTCCACCAGGTCCAGGTCTGTTAGGAATAGCCGGTGCTGGACGGCCCCCTGTTGGCACCGGCGGTGGAGCACGAGAACTAGAAAGAGGTGGTGGCTGTGTCACTCCACGTCTTGGCCCACCAGGTGATGGTGGTGATAACCTGAAAGTATTTGTTCCAAGGTGAGTCATAATTATCTAACTTGATAAGTACATAATTTAGATGAAAGACGAAATGAATATTAAATTTACATCGAACTCTACAGAGATACTAAGAGCTTTAGCGCTTGATCTCGCTACTGCTTTCTGAATTCAATATTAACATAACCGGGTACACTACTTGTGCTTCATATTCTGGCCTTCGAACGTTCTATACCAAAAATATAATATTTTGAAGAATTGGGCTTGAGTATAACATATTAAAATTACCGGAAAGAAACATATTACCGTACAAAACATAACAAATATATAAGGTTCAACATAAGTTTGGAAATAAAACAATACAAAGTATACAGATAAAAATATATACACTCGTGAGCAACGAGCTTCTAGTTAAGAATAAATGTAGAGGGAGGAGCCTAGAGGAATTGCGAAGAGGACATAAGATACACTTGCCTATAATGCTTGTTTTCCAAAATTCTAAAACTTTAAAATCCTACAATTAGGGAGAGACTGAAGAGAACCTAGGGATATTCTAAAGGAACCCAGGGCGAAATCTAGATAAAATCTAATCTAAACATTCCTCACACATTTCTCCTTAACTAAAGGAAGCATATATTGCACTCGAGCATATAAATAATAGGGATACAATTGTTCGCGACTAAAATTTCCGAATATACACAGAACTAAAGAAAAAAGGAAGGATAATTAATAGAAACGTAATAGCTCTTACCCAAGACTGTTTCAACGGTGTTCAAGTGTATGGGGCAAAAGCAGGCAGTACAAGATTGAAAGATACCAAATTAGTTGAATGCATAAGCGACAATGAAAATAATATCATAATTGTTACCTTGGATTCTCGCCAGACGCCAACCAATCGTTTTTCACTGGCGGTGGTACTGGAGTGGACACCGTCGCCATTGAGACATCTCCGATGATACGAAGTGCCTCCTTGCATGCGTGATACATGCGTAACATTTCTTCCCGTTTTTGTGCTTCTTCAGGCGATTCTTCCATCATCGAAGCCTGCGGCGTACATGAACACATTAATCCAAATTAATCGAGGAAGTTGAATCATAAAATAAGTTAGGAAGAAGCATGGTGATAAATAAAAGAAGGGAACGAAACTTACAGTTATGGAATTAAGGAAATTCTTCAAATAATGTTTATCAACCTTGATACATTGAGTGGGAAAAGGACATCTTAGGACACCATTATAATTTTATTAGATGAGGTACGTTACTGGATTAACAAATTATCTGCAGGTACGTAAAACTGTGGTACTTTAAATTCAGATTAATGTTCACCTGATCACCACTCGCGTACAAATGTGCCAACAGCTCTCCATTGATGAAATCCTTCGCGTTATTGATGATCAAGTGCATAATTGTCTTTGGAACGAGATCGCGAGTAGTTTTCGTGACAATCTTCATGTACGAATCCACAAGATTTCTGATGGTCTCCACTTGTCGCTCCAACTGAGGATCCATCGATGACTGAGCTTCTGATCCACCCTATAAGATATCAACAATAAATCTAATGCACCAATAATCAATAATGCAAGTTAAAAGCAGTATTCAAGATAGTTATATAAAATTGAAATAAAGAGTTAATAATGGGAGTGTTATTGATTAATAATAAAAGTGTAATTGATTCTATTTCCAAACGGAAACGCTGCCAGTAGGTAATATATACATATTTTAATAGCAGACTATATTAATCATTAGAAAAAGCAGAGCTGAGTGGAGGTGTTTTATATTCGTGTACGTGTTGTGTGTTCATATGTTTGTCTATGAAACTTCTATATTTGTACCAACCTCATATCCTTCCTTTAGTTGATTAGAAGCAAGAAAATTTAATCACAATTGTGAATGCAAAATCTAATTAATTGTTGAAAAATATTGCAAATTCATACTTCGATTAAAAAGATTATTTAAATGGATTATTTTCTAAAACATGGACGTTATTTAAAATTTTGTACTTTCTTTAACAATGCAAAACGAATTTTAGAATTCTAGTGCATATTATGAACGATTTTATGATAATCGAAAGGTTAAACAATATATTATAATGAAGTATTGATAAAATGCTCCTATCACACCACCACACAGTTAAAAATTTAATGATGAAGAAAACAATCTAGTTATCCCGTACTAACTCACCCGCTGCTTATCCTAAAATAAATGAAAATAATCTGTCGCTAGTAAACATAATAAAATGTGTCTATTACTAACAATAAAGAAAGGAAAAATCTAGTTATCTCGCACTTTAGTTAATAGAACAAATAACATAGGAACATTTAAATTCTTTTAAACATTTATAATGTCTCGATACTTACTTAAACATACACGTGCGTAAGATATTTAATTTTAAAATTGAATAAATAAAAAATTACCTCTCCTTCGCCATTCGCTTGTTCCGTTGACTTTTCAGGATATACGCCAGCTCTGAGGAAAGAAGCTTTCCAAGAGTCAACATCGTCCTGTGTTTCACAACTTAATTCAAGCTGCTTGGAATCCTTGTAAACGTTTCTGCCCTCAGGATTAAACAAAGCGAACAAGTGACGTCGGGACATGAAACCTTGTTCCAAATCGCGTAATTTTAATCCATCTAAAGGTAACATGTACTTCTTCTCGCGTTCCTAAACAAAACACACAATACATGGCTTATAGCTTATACGATTCACTTTACTAATCACAAGTCACTGCTTAATGTTCGCTTATTTGATTTACATAAAATAGTCGTAGCGAAGATGTACAATTGTCGATTATTTGAATATAGTCGATTTATAATTTCAGCAATTTAATTGAAATAACTGTATAATTATAAGATAGATACATGAGAAATCTGTTTTCCTTATTTTGATGATTCATTGTTAAGCTAAGATCATGATTGTGCGGATGTTCACTTCACGTAATCTGTTAGAGCTATTTCGGTGAGAATAACTTCGAGAACAATAACTGGGATAAAAGGCGAACATTAAACGTGTAATACCGGATATTATAATTGAGAAGATATTTACTTCTTCGTCCTTGTACCAAGAAATACTCTCCGATGTTAGGACAAACCAATAATCTTTTGAGCCACCTTTCATTATACCGAGATTATGGATACACATGTACCCCTTGCGTATTACTTGATTGCCCAACGTATGACGCCCGGATTTGACTGCATTTTCGGAGGACTGTTGTGCACTGTAACATAAGTGCGATGTAAAATGAAATGTTAAATAGAAAAAAGTGTTTGAATACCCATGTACAAAGTGTATTGTAACAACTTGCCACAAAAGAACTTGTTGTTTATCTTGTTTATTTTGTAAAAAATCTAGCAGGGCAAAATCCTAGCAACAACTTTTTTCTTAACTTACACAAACGTTCACACAAGTTCAAATTTAATTTTATAAATAAATTATTGAATCATACTGAACAATGAAGTTCTCTAAAGTATGTGCTTTTATGGTACCAAAATATTGAAAAACAAGACGTGATAAAGAACAACATAGAAAGGATCATTACTTTGGCTGTATATCATTGATTTGAAATGGTAATTTTACAATTCTGTTAGAATAAAAGATTCACTGGATTAAGAAAAATAAAAAATTAATTTTACCTCATAAATTGTTTTAGCTTACATAGAAAAACTATATAACATACAGCCACAACAATTCCATGCATATACTCCCATACAGTTTTAAATATTACAATTTATATATTTTTGAATGTACATTCAAACACTGTAACATGTAAGTACATAAAATGTTATTGCTACTTAATCAACACTTGAATAATTTTGTAGATGACAATGCATAAAGAATTGGCAGAAGCACATATATATTACATTCATTATGAAACAATGTGAAAAGTGATGAAACCAAGATTTGATGCTGCTGTATGAAATATACGATTTGGAGCATCTATGCATGACTTTAGTGAATGATTCATTCGAATGGTACATTTGAATTGTGCGAACATGTACAAAAGACTAAAATTAAACCCATTTAATTTTTAATTAATTATAAGTGTATTTTCTAGTATGTAAAATGATATAAAAAGTAAGAGAATAAATAAAAATAAATGGTAAATGCATAAGAGTATCTAATACTTCATAAAATTTAACTTCATTTCCTCATTTTCATAACATGTATCTTTATTACATTAATTAGAATACTGAATAGTTATTGATAAAATTAAAGAAGAAATACATTAACTATTACTCATAATTTTAAATAACAAAAACTGATACATTCTGTCTTAATTAAAAGAAGAAGAAGGAAAACCTAATACGCTAGAAAAATATGTAATTTTCCATTTTATATTGTAGAGGACACAAGTAGGGGTATTGCTTTTATGGATTTTATCTTCTGTTAAGAAAATGATAAAAATTGGAAGCTAGGGGGAATCAACTAAAAATAAGCATAAAAGATTAAGAGCGTGAAAATGGAAAAGGAAGAAAAATGTAGTGTAAATCTTTGTTCCAATGTACTTTATAATTCTTACCTTGCATTATGGCTACTGGCTGCCGCGCTGCCGATATAATTAAATAATTTCTTTAATTGTGAAGTATAAAGTTTTGATGAATGGAAACAAATGTCAGGAAATGTGTAAAATGCTATGTAATTTAAGGAAAGACATACGTTTTTAAAACTCTTAATTACATAAAGCTTATTACAATAAAATTAAAATTTACAATTATAAGACCTAAGCAACTGCTGATTTCAAGTGATTATAATACATTTCTGCGATATTTTCTGTGCAGAGGTATGCCTTGCCTTTAATGACATAAAAGATTTTGTTAGAGAAGCTACAGTATTATAATTCAATTATCCGTAATCACCGTATAAAAGAAAATGCTATTATATATTTTTCTACTATTCATACATGTTTGAAGAAACCAAATAATATTTTTTAAATAGTAACTAATCTTAGAATAAAACTTAAACTGAGTAGCAGTATATGTATTCATTTTCAAATTGTTCATCATGTTCATCATTTATTTCATAACAATTTGAATTTTTTTATGATATTTTAAGTGTTGAATAAGTAAAATAGAAAAACCAACAAAAATTATGTTAATCACATAAAAGTAAAGTATTAAAATGTTAAAAGTATGCATATCTCGAATAGGAAAAATGTAAGTGGGATACAATTTAATATGACAATACATATGACACAGAGTGTCATACACACGTACATCAAATAGAAAGAATAGCATAAGTTCTACTATTTTTAACGATACTGACAATGTGTGCCTCTGCTTTGAAAAACAAAATGAGCTAATAGTACTTGCTAGTTTGAAGCTTGCAATATGAATTGATTTTAGCGAGACATGCACTGATTATGAAATATACCGTATAAACCTGATGACAACAATTATATGAATGTAATTAAATATACATTGCTCAATTTATTTTATATTACCAATGATTACGTTTTCACTTTAAATATTTTAAATTCAGGGAAATACGGTATAAGCGTATATTATATACTTTAATACGTATTTAATACATAATCAAATATGTATCAACGCATATAATCCGTAATTTGCGTACAAAAATGTTGCAAGCAAACTAATATAACTAACTATTGATCTAGCCCGTGAATTTATTTATCACGTTCATTTTGTTTTATACGTAACTTAAAGTATAGCTTTTAATAATGATAATCAAAATAATAAAACTAATTAAAAAAAATACCCTGTTTGCTATATAGTAAAGCACATTATCATTATGTGGACTATACTATGTGTTGAATTTACATTAGTCATGCAATATAGAAATTCATTACTGCAAGTATGAAAATGTTCTTCAAAGATATTGATAACGTGTAAAGTAATTTACTGAAAACAGTATATAATATAATATCTTGGTGTATAAAAAAATATTTAATAAATAAATGCTGAATTTTCAGTTATTGAAATAGAAGTAGTTCATAAAATTTGCATCTTATTCGTTCAATAATTAATGGTAACGAATGGTTTCAATGAAATAAGGGTTTTTTTTGTTGAACATTTTGAAGGTTTACAACATACTTTTTAGAATCGGGATAGTAAAACTTATACATATAATTACATTAAAAACTGTAACTGCAGTTATGAATATAAGAACAACATAAAGCGCTAGATGTGCGGTGGTTAAAAATCAAGATTTTCTATTATATTATTTACGTTTTTGATTTTATTGATTCGCTACGATAACACATAATAAAATGCAGGCAACTTACTTGGCGAAACCAATAAAGTCTTCATGATTCGTATTCATGTACGCAAGTTCACAATCAACCAGAAGTATCAACTGCTCCTTGCACAACTGTTCACGTTGTCTAACATGAGTAGTAATAATACGTTCCGTTTCTTCCCTCAATCTAGGATAACGTGACATCTACGATACAAAATATAAATTATATCAATGATCATATGATGCTTGAAATTTGAGAAACAGGGCATAAAAGAATTTACTTACTCTATCAGTACAAATGCGTACAACGTTACTGAGTTCTTGCACTACTAAATCCACGCATTTTAGACTAGGTTCCTTGAGTCTATTGATCTGTTTTTTAACTATTGCCTCAAAAGCCATATCAGGAGTAAACAAACCTACCCTGATACCTATAACATTATGCTATTGTTAGTACTTTATTTTTAAAATCAATACCATACAGCATTGTCTTTCATTGTTCACGTTGAGACGAAATGAAAGATTGGAATATTTTCACTTCTGACCTGGTTTTGTCGTATTAAAATAAACAAAACCCGTCATTGCAGTGAACGATGAAAGACAATATTCGTTCGTTATTATATAGAGCATTCTCTCCAAAAGAAATAGAAAAAAATAAGAAACATCCAAGTTTTTTTCTTCCACTGACTCACTGGTCTGATCATCGATAATCGATTGCGAACGATAGATAAACTCGAAGCGAATTCCAATGGAATAACGTTAGGCAATAATAGAGATGACAACAACATTTTCTGAAAGATTTCTTACTATACTTTTTGAGAGAATACTGTATTTACGTAATAGTAGTGTAATGGTAGAAATATTAAAATTAAGATAATTATTCACCGTGAATATTCCTAATGGCAAAAGCAATTTCTCTCCTCAATTCTTTTTCATCAAATTCCATTTTAACTATTTCAAATGGAAAACGTTCATGGAATAATCTATTTATCTTAGCACCTCCGCTAAGCTCGTTTGTATTGATTTGTGCAGATCCTGAACCTTCTATAGTCCTTTCAAAATCTGACTGAAGCTGTTGTATCATCCTTAAAAATGTTTTTCTTTCAATCAATGCATAGACAAGCACTAAACTTTAATATTGGTTATATGGGTAGAGAGTCGTGATATTTAAGGTTAAAAAACTATATATAAATTTAATGTTTAATTAGTATACTAGAATGCTCAGTGTTAATCGGTTATTTTTCACACTCGGTTGAGTCAAAAGAAAAATGTATGATGCATTAAAATTTTCATGCAAATGATATACATACACATGAAGACAATATGATACCTACATAAACATTTGAATTGATCTGAAAAATAAGAATAAAATGCTCTAAAATATCGAGACCCTCCACCCATAATGTATTTTAAGAGAAGACTGCAAAGGATAAGTTTAGTTTATAAACAAATCTATTATAAGAGGCAAAACATTTTACACAACTTAATATATATTGGACTTCTTTTCTAATAAAATTGTTATACCATATGGTGTAATATCAATTGCCAATATAAAGTATATAAAAAGAAATACTTACTGTAACATAGCTTTTGTTTTTATGGCAGGATCATCAGGTCTGAAATGTTTGTACTGTTCTACATCTTTCTCCAATGTAAGTAACTGTTTTTGTAATCTATCTCTTAATGCTGGTAAAGTATCCCTGATATGATTTGTCAACTGTTGATTTAAAACACGTTGCAAATATGGTGTTCCTAACCTATCTGCTATGTGCCGATAAGATGGGTGGCTAATAAAAAAAAAATATAACGCATATTTTATCAATTAGTAATTTATACAATTATTTGTTATTATTCATATATACCTTAAGAAAAACTTCCTTTCAGCTGCTAAAGCATTTTTAATATCTTTTCGACCTTCTATATCTTTTTGACTTCTATTAACAACACCTATATAACCTCGTCTCAGAGGTAACAGCTTATTTTCCAGAATATCTCTTGCATCTGTACCATCATCCATAAGATCCAGTTTTGTAATAACACCAATTGTACGTACACCTACCCAAACAATTTAAAGTGTAAAAATGTGTTTGGAGTTCTTATTTTGAAATCTTAAAAAAATATATATACCTTGAGGATCTACTTCTTTGGCAAGTTTAAGAGCATCACTGTTAGCCAAATCAGTATTTGCAGGAGTTACTGCCAATATAAGACAATTTTCCCTTTTGATGAATTGAAAAATCATAGCTTTGATTTGAGCTTCTATATCTGCGGGTTGATCTCCAATTGGTACTTTTGTAAGGCCAGGCAAGTCAATCAATGTTAAATTTAAAACTATTAAAAATAAACATATGTTAATCAAAACAATAATGCACACTCATACATGATGCAATATGAAAATATATTTACCATTGGGTGAATACACTCTTAAATTTATAGGTATATTAGAAATACCCTTATTACTGCCAGTAATTCTGTCTGTTTCTGCTTCGATTTCCTTCCGTACTTCATCAAAATCCACAAACTTTTTACCTTTACAATGTAGAAACTCAGCATATTCTATAATAAAAATATATTTTATAGTACCCTTTTATGCACATATTTCTATACAATATTAGTCAATTAATCTTAATTGTTTAGCTTTAGAATGAAAGTGATAATGCACTCAATTTCCTGCTTATCAAAAGTTCATTGTCACAGGAAATATGATAAGTTGATAGAGAACAATTAAGGAGATTCTATGCTAAGTTCATATGTTCAGTTATAACTATACTAAAATTAATTATAATGAAATATTATTTTAATGTTATCAAGGAAACACAAAAATTCTGGCTGTTTTAATCTATAAAAATAAATGATTTTGATTCACAAAGTAGATTAAATATTTTAGAACTTTCTCAACTACACTTTAATATTTTACATTTTGTTGGTTCTTACTTTCTTTTAAAATATATGCATGTACAATACAATAACTAGTAAACCTAAACACAGCACAAACTTTCTAAGTTACCTAACATCAAGACTACAAAATAAAGTTGCAATTAATTTTATGCTTAATACAATGGCATTGTGAAAGACTTCTAATTAAAAATTTTACTTTTATATTCACAACATGAAACATGTTATAATCTATTTATCTATGATGACTCACCAGTTGTACTATTAATCAGTTGTAAGATAAGTGGTCTTCTGGTTACTATGCCTGATCCTCTAGGTAAGAAGTCTCTGAAAATGAAAAACATTATTATATTTTTGATTATTCCAATAATATTAAAGCATGTAACATTAAAACGCAATAAATAGTATGAATAAAGTGTTCTGTATTTACTTAGTAGCACGAATAACAGAACCTGTTGATGTATATAACAAACATATGTTCTTTGTTTAAACATAATTATCATAAAATAATATGTTCTACATTTCAATTATGTCCTAGTGATCAATAGCAATTGATATTTCTCACTCATAAAAACTATTATATCAGTACAAATAAATGAAATTGGTATATCTTTCCTAGCATTTTAGCAATATGTATGCATAAAGAGTTTTCAAAGTCTTTGTCTGTTTGACTGTCTGTTGGACCAGATTCAAATAAAAAATTATTGAACCAATTTCATTGAAATTTGCACAAATGATAGATGACATTCTTAGTCATAATCCGCTTTTCATTTCATCTCGACATCTGAAGCAGTTTTAAAGTTGTAAAATTATATTGTAATATTGTTGAGTAAGATATATGTTCTTGAATTGATGATTCTTAATAATTATAATCAGATCCAATATAATAATTTCCACAATACTATCTTTATGAGTAATCCAATGATTGGTGACTCTGCTAATCTAAAATAAAGTTATAAACAATTGTATATGATGATAATTAATTTCTGATAAAATTCATACAAGATTTAAAGATTTCCAATAATCTATAGTAAATCAAGGAGGGCTATATGAACTGAATGCAATACTAAACGGTCCACATCAGGAACAATTAAATTAATAATTCTCGTCGTTGTACATGTACACTTGAGGCAATTTAGTAGAAGGTTAACTGTTATATCAGCGAGAAAGAATAACCGTTTGACAGGTCGCCGTGTAGGCGGCCTCAAATCGCAAGATATAGTAGATTTTGATGTCATGATCGATAGATTAAAATAGTTAACCTGTCAAGGTATAGAAAAGGGGAATAGTTCAATTAAAATAACCAAGGATGAACATCAAAATTATAACGTGGCGTAGTTCGCCACGCCTTTAATCAAACGTTTGGAATATTCTCCCAATCGTTGTAAGTTTTTCAAGATATGTCAGCAACGAAAGACAACGAAACAACAGGAAACGACATACTTACTTTCCGACAAAGTTCTCGAGAACAGAACTTTTTCCTGCACTCTGTCCACCCACCACCGCGATCTGTGGCAGATCCAGTTGCATGTGCACCCCAAGTTGCGTGAATGCATCTTGCAGCTTGTTCACGATTGGGATCAACTGTTCCATACCCGTGTTTCCTGCCATTTTGTCAAAGGCTGTTCGCTCACTGGCACAGGAACACGATCGTTTTCAACTTTACGGCTGTGTCCTGTGGGCGACACCGAGCTGCCACCACTTCCACGCACAACCGTCGAGGGTAGCTGCCAGAAGTGATTCTATCGCACTAAACACGCACTACCAAAATGGCCGATTTTACGAAGGCACGTCGTTTCACGCGAAATTTCACCGCATTTTTTCCGAAAACCGTGCTCGCGGCACGGTACCACAAACGGAAGATGTCAGCCACTGGCCTACTGCGAGAAAGCTACGCCACGAACCTCCACAACCACTGCGTTCACGTAAATGAGATCCAGTGGTACGAACTCGAGGCACGTAACGTGTTTCAATCGATAATCGAAGCGTGCGCACAGGCGCCTTAGTTGTGACCCACTTTTTATCGTGAGATAAAATCCATATCGTCCTCCTGCTGCTGACCTTTTTCCACGTCCCACGATGATCTGATAACGAAGGAAGCTGTAACTACACCTTTTGTCCTCTGTTGATCCTGTTCACGGCGTATAATCATTTTCTTGGTTCACCGATTTTGAACGATTACGCGGCAAATATTTTTATTGGCGCGGAACTTTTGTAATCATTGAGAAAACTGATGACGACCAATGAGAACATTTATTTCCTGGTTATCATATTGCGTCAGAACGATGATTCCATTCATTTCGGACCTTTATTCAGTAAACTGATGAATCTTTCATTAACCGAGTGCTAATGTATGATTTTACTTAACAAAATTATATGTAAGACATTATCATTTTCAATTAAAATAATTTTTGTGTAAATAATCCACCTCCAATTACTGGTTGTTACAATCGCTGTTATCTCATTATAAATATTTAAATGAAACTAAATACGAAAGTTTTACTTGAAAATATAATAATATTTAATTAAAAACTCAAAACGTTTTTGGTTACAAACATTTTAAATATTAATAATTATTTTGTATTAAGTTGAACCTGGTACTAAACTAAACTTAACTGATAAAATTTTCACTGATTCATTCAATGAAAGCAAGCTATATAATTTTCAAAAATATTACGAGTTCAAAAAATTTCGAATCTGTTTTTATAAAATATCAGAATGAAATAAAAGTTACTAGGAATTAAATGATATTACTGGCTAATTCACTTTATGCTTTTGAAACTAGTATCATATGTCAAATAACACGTATTATCAATAATAGATGAAGAAATGATAAGATACTGTTATTTGTACATGATAAAATTTTTAGTTTTACGAATGTGTTGTCACTTTCGTAAAGGAGTATGCTTATTCTGCTTTTAGGGAGATTTATAAGTACTAGTATGAGATCACTCTATAGTCTACTTTTGTTTTCATGGTCATATACCTGGTGGAAAAAATAAAAGTTTTAGAGATTTGGAAATTGGAAAATTTAAATATTTCGGTTTTCTGAAACCGAGAACAAATGTAGAATGCTTCTCCCATTATACTTAATTGTTATTCAATGAAAATCTAAATTATACCTAAGAATACAAAGTAAAATCATTAAGAATTAAAAATTATGAAACATTCTGCACGTTGGATGTATTTTCGATATCACAATCATTGTAACAGCGCATGTGTATTACTATAAAGTACAAAGTGTGTAGAAACGAACAGAGGAGATGCGCAGAATGAACGAAATCTCGTTACCTAGTTAGTATAATTTCTCGTGTAACAGCGTACACTTTCATTCTGTAAAGTGAAAATCCTGAGCCAATGGGGTGAAAGGTTTAAAGAGAATGAAAGTTGGTCTTGTTTAATCTTCTCTCACAGGAGATTATCTGTGTTTGCGTTTAACACAATGAGGAGGAATCCTTTGTTAAATAAAACGTTTACAATTTTGAGTGTAAAATGAACAAACTTCGTAAAATTAGTTTAAATTAAATGTCCAGTGTAATCTTTAAAAATACAAATCAACTATAAATTCAGCGTATCTATATGTAGTGAGTGAGGGCGCGATCGGTATTTTCCTACGATACGAGTCCAAAATGTCAGACATCGATAAATGGATAGAGATTGCAAAAGAGTGCAAATACCTTCCCGAAAATGACCTCAAGGTAAATAACGTGTACGAAATATTATTTTTTATTATTTTAATCGTAATATATTTTATCGACATGTTTGACAAGATGTTAAACATACGCTAATAAATCACTTCTGTTCGTTGTATTTCTTTTGATAATTAACTTTGTTTAGAAACTTTGTGACATCGTATGTGACTTACTGTTGGAAGAGTCTAATATTCAACCCGTACCCACACCCGTAACAGTATGCGGAGACATTCATGGCCAGGTAAATTTCATATCATTGTTCTAACCTCAACATAACATCGATATCTACAGTGCTACTGATAACTACGTCGATAGTAAAAGTTACAGATGTTTTTAAGTAGCTTACTAAACGTTATGATTGTTTCTTGTTTTTCAGTTTTACGATCTAGAGGAATTATTTCGTAATGGGGGTCAAGTGCCCGATACAAAGTATATATTCATGGGAGATTTTGTAGATAGAGGGTATTACAGCGTAGAAACGTTTACTCGCTTACTTACACTTAAAGCTAAATGGTCGGATAGAATAACATTGCTTCGAGGGAATCACGAATCCAGACAAATTACACATGTTTATGGTTTTTATGGTTAGTGTGCATTGTATGATATATCTTATAAAATATTAAAAATTTATTGTTTATACATGTGTTAAGTTTGTTACATCTTTCTTTGCAGATGAATGTCAAAATAAATATGGCAATGCTAATGCATGGAAATACTGCTGTAGGGTATTCGACTTACTCCCCATTGCTGCCGTAAGTGTTAATAAATATTGACAAAATTTCATATAGTCATATGTACACATATTAAACATAAACATTTTGATTTAGTTAATCGATGAACAAATATTTTGCGTGCATGGAGGATTGTCCCCAGCGATTAGGACATTAGATCAAATTAGGACGATTGAAAGAAATCAAGAAATTCCACATAAAGGCATGTATACCATCGTGGTGCAATTATACTTTACTTTACTTTACCTTTACTAACTTACGCTAATAAACGATTATTTTTCACTTCAGGTGCTTTCTGTGATTTGGTCTGGTCTGATCCAGAAGATGTCGACTCATGGACCGTCAGTCCACGTGGAGCAGGGTGGTTATTTGGAAGTAAAATAACATATAAATTCATGGAGATCAATTCTCTTAAGCTCATCTGTAGAGCTCATCAGTTAGTTCATGAAGGTATACATTTTTATAAACATACACTTATTTAATAATATATTAACTTTTTGTAGTAAAAAGTCATTTGTTCATAGAATTTTATTAGAGAAAGAAAATAAATTTAATACGTTTTGCAATAAAAAATTGCTGGATGTATGTGATTCTGTGACCAAATAGCTTTTGACCACAAGGGGTTATTGATAAAACACAGTATTTAAAATTTTTCTTTCCATTTTATTTTCAGGTTATAGGCACATGTTTAATGATAAACTTCTAACAGTATGGTCAGCTCCAAATTATTGTTATCGTTGTGGTAATAAAGCTAGTATTTTAGAGTTGAGAACTGTCGATCAAAAATGCATAGTGCTATTCCGGGCAGTGCCTGATTCTGAAAGAGTAATTCCGCCTTTAACAACTACACCATACTTTTTGTGATCTAACTTAGTGCTCCATTTGTTTGGATGCAGAAGGGTGGTATCTGCGTCTAGACTTTACGGAATTACATGACTGTTTCTTCACGTTGATAGACACAGGCTGGTACTCTGACGGAGCATAATATTTTTCGGTGACGTATCGAAAGACGGTACATTATTTAGATTTTCAGTTTTTAAAACGTTATTTTTTTATGTTTTGTAAAAGAAAAAAAAATTGTCATTTAAAATAAAAAAGAAGCAGAATTATCATGTGATTATCTATTCAGGGAATATTCTTACGCGTTTTTTAAAGAGATTTACCCATTTTTGTATGTTGAAGAATTAACTTTTATACATAGTACGTCTGCCATTGCATCAGCCTGATTTCTTTAGTTCAAAGAACGTTTCGAATTGGAACGTGAACACTCTGTGGTCTAGACGCTTTTGCTGTCTACTGTGTACATTCTGAGCATTCGCATCTCAGAGCAGTATTGTGAACGTATTGTTTCAGAGGTTAAGAGCTTTTAAGTAAGTTGCGAACGCGAACAACAAACGGTTCAGTACTATAAGAATGAATAAATGAAGAAAAACATTTAAACATTCCGCGGTGGGAGAGTCTCTGAGTATAGTGAATGCTTAACTGATATTATGATCGTTGTGCGTAGAATTCAGGTTTATTAAAGCGTGAGCATATATACTACTGTTAAGGTCTTCCTGAGTATGTAATTGATCTGTTTCTGGTTTAGATACTGTGTGTGCTGCGTGCAATTCTTTTAATACTACTAGATGCGCAATCAGTGTTCTTAGCAGCATAAATTCGGCATCCGCCGAGGTACAAATAGTATGTAGCCAGTAGCCAAAGTTTTCCTGCCTAGGTAAGGAAATTCAGTAGAAAAAATTGTATTATATAATAGGGTTTTTGTTAATATTTTTATGCACATGATAAACTTTATATTCCATTCTTTCTTTCTTCTTTATTACGAGCTCAACGTACCGTTTGCAAAATATTTGAAGAAAACAAAATATATATATAAGATATATATTGTTGCGATGGTATAAAGTTGTCCGTCGCATTCAATATATATACATTGAAATTCTTTCCTAGTATCGGCCTTTCCAGCCACATTTCACTTCTATGTACACAGAGCAATAGTTTGAGTACTTTATCGTTATTCTCGGAAGCTTTGTACAGTTTCCATATTATATGCCAAATCGCTGTCGTACTGAATAATTATAATAGCTAGATTGTCATAAGTTCATTAATGTAGGGAGCAATTTTTAAGAACCGAGACCCTTAGCAATGTGCCTCTAAATTAATAAGCGTTTGTGTAATATAATGGTATGATGATATTGATACATAATTAATAGAACGCACCGGCCATTGCGTATCATAAGCCTGAATTCTGACCATCGATTTGCTAGCTCATGATAATTCCTAACCGATCACAGACCCGACATATATGGCATTGGCATTGGCACTGGATGTCAAGTTGAAACTACTCTATTTTGAATTTTGTGATATAGTTCAAGTGAGGCGTGTGAAAATTGCGTCGATGTTTGTAACGATTTTCCATGTCGAGTCGTTCGGGGATGTTTTGAAGACTTGTTATTTCAAGAAGTATAATCAACTTTTGAACAGTGCCTTCAGAACTATAACATTGACGGTCTACTAGAAGTAACACTTTCTACTGACAGAGATAATCATAGACGAACTAGGACGGATTCATAATAAATAACAGAGAGCTTAATGAAAAAAAAAAAGGGCGTGTATTAAGGAATTCTCTTCATCTTTTTTATATTCCAGGAAGTATTATTAACAATCCCTTTATGATAATTCGTCGTTTATTATTATTATTATTATTATCTCTCATAAGATATTTCGGCGTCCATTTCGATTGCTTTACATACGAGATACTTTTTACATTTTACAATATTATCGATAAAAATATTTATATATATATTCAGATTGTTAACGATATGCAATTGCACGATTTTACATTTAATCAATGCTTTATATTTACATTATCGATATTGTATTAGATAGATTATTATACAAGTTAAGACACGGAGTTTACGTTACAAACTCGACCCGTCGATTTTTCAGCCTCTAATATATATCGTGAAACTGAGGTGAAGCATGAAAATGCCTATGTAGTACGGACATCCTAGGAATCGTAAAAGTATTAGCCTCTGTGTCTACTTAGGTATTCGCAGTATTCACCTTTGAATGCCTCTGTCTGTGATCGCTTTAATCTTATCGAAGTGTCCAAGCGCTTGCGACGATTGTACATCGGGTAAGCTCCACGTTAATTAAAGACAATTACATTAAATAAACGAGACTAAATAATTTAGCTTAAACTAATATGTTCTGTGCAGGAGCTTGAACACTGCGCATAATCCTTAAAGATCTCACAGGTAGACAACATTTTAACGATCATGTACCTTGAAAGTATAGACTTTGTTATGTTAATGTAATGAAACGTCTGTAATAAAAATGCGGAAAAATTGCAACTGACATTATCAATAATACTCCCGTTATTATTGTGATAAATAAAGTACAAATATATACACACATATCTATATAACTATACGATATCGTGAGGTGTTGAAGGAAAAAAAAAGTTATCATTATGTAGGCATGGGTGTGGAACAATAAAGATATCATCAAATCTGTTCATCTTTAATTAGTTTATTTACTTGTAATAATATTATTTTCATCGCATATGTATATATATATCATTCTATTATGATATATATATATCATTCTATTTACTCCTTACTATTTATATATAATAATATAGTGTATTTATGTTCATTATGTATAATATATTATCTACATTTATAATCCCTATGAAAGGCATCTCCAAACAGACTTCAGATTTACTTTTTTTTTTAAAATATCTTATTTATTCATAAAAATACAGGGGGTTTACGCGCCACCTGTGAAATCTAGCCTGTTTTGCCCGGAACCGATAGCTTCCGATTATTGGTCGGACGAATAACATTATTATATCTTACAAATCTTTCATTCTTGCAATAACAACGAATTTATTATGTTTCTCAACATCATCTATATGTACACATCCTTACGCAAACAAGTTAAAGGATTTTTCCGTTCAGCTACGAGTCTGTAAGCGCATACGCGTCTTTTTTTACTTCTCGCGTTTATTATTCAATCACGTAATTGATATCATTCACCATTGGGTTAAACGACGAAAAAGAAAAAGATCAAACGATTTCAAGAGCTCACGATACGATACGGAGAACGAAATGCAGTAAAAATGCAACGGGATAAGCTAGACGAATATTAACAAAATCGTTAGCTAGACGAAAAATAAATAAAAACTAAAACGTAAATCTTTAAAATAAACGCATATATTCTCTTCTCCACCGACTAGACTGTTTAATTCGAGACGTGCATCGACGAGATAAAAGGAAAGCACAAGAGAAGATCTCCGCTCAGTCTCTCGATAATTTAAAACAAATAAAACACGTTTCCATAATGCTTCGATTAAAAGTAAAATTTCAAAGAAAATTGCAAGTGTTCAGAGTAAAGGGACTATAAGTACAATCTCGTTAACGATTCATCGAAGACCTACAAAATGTATAAAAACTATAAAAAAATGCATAGAACCATGTTCGAACGCTTCCCAGGGTGTAATAATGATTCTTTTAAAAATACGCTCAAAGCTCGATAATATGAACAATTATTAACAATCGAATCAAGCGTAAACTTGCAAAACGTTCAATGAAAATTTCGTAGCGATCAACGGGAATTTGTAATTTCGCGCGGAAAAAATCGATTTGAAAAAACTTGTTTAGTGGCAACGCAGCATCCGGTTCCCGGCAGAGCGGCGATTCACACGGCGCTCAAATCTCAGTTACAAAAGGAATAGTCGAAGGTAAACGAGACGATAAAAATGTACTTCCTAAACGTAGGTAGAAATTGGTAACTTTGACTCACTCATTGAAAAAGTATTTCCTCTTGCCAATCCGGCATTCGTGCTTTCTTTCTGCCCGTCGTTTTTGGGTTAACGTTTGTATTGCGCGCGCCTTCGGCTATCACGTGACAAGCAGCATACTTCAGTGTTCGCCAATCCGTTCAAAGTGACAGTCCGCGTTAGTTTCGAAGTGAGTTTTTTAACAGTGAAATCAACGACTGAATTGGAAAAGTGATTCAATATTGATGACTGATTACGTGTTATGCAACGCTTCAATATATAAAGGTATGTCGTAATTGTATAAGCGTAATTGTTAGTGACGTACAAGTGATCGAATGTTACAAATTTTCTACATTACAAATTCTTTAATTTCTCGTCTTTTATATTGCAAATCTTCAATTTTCTGAGTTCTCAAACACTAAAATTTCTAAATCTATGTTTTTAAATTCATAATTTTACAATGTTGAAAGTTCCGAATTTTTCATCGAGACCGAAGGGATTTATGGCGGGCATTAGTCCGAATTCGTCCGACTTCTCCCGAGAGTAACCGAGTCCGACATAGGCTACTTGTACATCTCTAATAATTATAAATCAATGATTATTATTAAGTTTTGCGCAAAAGAGACATATTTAACATATTAGATTTAACATATTTGGACGATCAAGAACGAAACTAGAGTCCGTGTTATTCCGTTACAAAATCTTGAACGATATTATCCTGCGTGAGCAATCATGTTGCTCGGAGATCACCGAACTTTATGCACGCGATTAGAAACACTGCGCGGCCGCTTGACACCGTATATAATATATATATAGAACAGGTATAACACGGAATTATACAAAGAGACAGGACTAGTACTTTCAACGTAGTTATTATTAAACCTTTCGTACAATATGTACAAAGTTAAACCCACAAACGAGAGGCATATGTTTTTTTTATACTTTTAAATTTCTTCTTTCTTTCTTTCTTTCTTTCTCTCTCTTTTTTTTCGTTTTTTGTTGTTTCTTTTTTTACTTTTTTGCTCAATAGACTCTCACTCGCACTTAAATATTAAAGGTTGGGCATGATAATACTCGCGGTAGTATAATGCCCTAAGTCTTGCTGATCCAACGCGTAGCTCTCCCGTAAGCAGCTACTGTACTCCCAGACATCGATGCACATTTTCATTTTTATACAATATACATATTTATATTTATATTTATATTTATATACTTATATGTATATATATATAACGTAATATTAAAGACAGTCCAACTCGGCGCTTTTATCTTTTCTCACGCGGTGTTCATTAACCTCCCCTCCCTCACCCCTCGTCTTTCCGTGTCCGACACTGCCACTCTATGTACATGCTAACAATAAATAGAACGCGACAAGAAAACGAGTTCTCCGCGGGGAAGTACGTAACGTTTAATCGATCTAACGAGAATAAAAAGATTGATAGGCGATTGAGGAGGCGGTTATGATCGGGGTTGGAAAATTCAAGGGAGCAAGGGATGGAACGTGAAACATCTACAAAGAAGGGTGGAGATGAAAAAGAACGAGCCCGTGTCGTCGCTTTCTCTCCCGGTATATTGCACTATTTATAAGAACGGTAACTTCGAAGCAAATTGTTTTTCGACACTCAACATTCCCTTTTGGAAGAAGCCTAAAAAAGATCCATTCCTGGCCAATGTTATCGAGACTCTTAAACTAAACTCAGCGAGGTTCTTTGCTTATTAATTTCGTATCTCGCGGGGTGCGACCTCATCGACCGTCCAATTGAACACAGAGACAAGTGTACGATGATGTCCGGGGAATACAGGAACCGTTACCCCCAGTTCCTTAACCGCAAATAATATACATTGTTTACCGTATTGAAGTATCCCATCGTTAGTTAAGTCTTATAGTATGGACAAGTATCCTTAGGCTAGTAGGCCCAAGGTTTTTTGCGTGTACAGTTCTCGTGTTGATTTTTTTTTCGTACGTAAGCTCGCGACCACGAGTCCGGCGAAAATACTTTTCGACGAATTAAAAATATGATCAATGAACAATGTTACGCAAAAGTTTTGAGCATGAATTCGGCTGGTAACGCTACGGTAACTGTCGTTCCGATCCAGAATCATTCGTAGATCGATACGCGAAATCGATTGAAACGGGGATAAATGCAAACACGACCAAAGACATCGAAAACACGACACGGATCTTTGGGAGTGAAATAAAGGGCATTCATTTTCATCGTACTCGTGATCGTACGGCGTACAGGTGATTTAGCGCGTGTTTACGATAACTTCTATGGAGGCAAGATGAAATAATCACGTCGTGATAGAACGTGCGCTGATTAATCGTTACATGCGTATACAGGGAGCGTTACTTTTTTATTTCTTTCATTGCCTCTGCCAAGACACCGAACGACGTTTCGAATGGCGTCAACCACCGGTTTTCAGCTTGTCTTTTGTGAAGATTTTCTCCTACAATGAATGGGTTTCGATATCCTAAATAATTGAGCCAATCCCGAGCTCCTGGAATTTCTGCGCGGCAAGGAAATTTAATATCACACGTTTCGATGATATATGTTTACGTGTAATCTCGCTATATGGCACTATTTCGTTTCTTTCAACAATTTTCACTTATAAAGCTTCTTAATATATATAACAAAATTTCTTTATATAGAAATTCACAAAATTCTGAATTAAAAACTTAAAATTTCACGAATTCAGAAATTCAAAATAAGTCTAGTTTAGAACATCTGAATATTGAAATTGTTAGGTTTAAATTTCAAAATGTAAGGGTTTGGGAGTTTTTAAATGAATGAATTAAGAAATTTATATACTTAGAAGTTTTCAAATTGGAATATCTAGTAATTTTTTAATTAGAAAATCTAGAAATTTTTAAGCTAATATAAAAGTATACAAATTAGGAAATTTAGTGGTCTAGTAAGTTTCTAAATTCAGAAATTAAAAATTTGTCTACTCTTCTGACATCAGAACTTCAATACTGAATGCATAGAACTCTTATAAGGCCAAATCTATACAGTGTCCCGCTACAACTCCAGAGCCATATAGCGAGATTGCACTATATCTATATCTACGCTAATAAAATGATGGGAACACATTTGTTCGAATTGACATAAAGGGAAAAGAATATCAGAAGTTTCCCCGCGAAACAGAAATACCAAGTATCTGTTCATCTTTCGTTCTACGCGTTTATATCTTTCTTTTTCCTATCATTGACATGTATGTACATGTATAATACTATGAAATTATCGCAGTCATTTGAACGAGGAATCACAAAAAAAGAGAATCTACGATGAACACCCGACAACGAGAAACGGAAGCGCGCTCATTCGAACGATCCGATCCTCGTCCCACCGTTTTGCAGAATAAATTGCATCACGATAACAAGCTACGAATTACACTGGAATATAAAAAATCGTTAAAAAATCCACGTCAGTCGAAAATCAGCGAGTTCGAACGTTTCGTATCGCAAGGCGAGTTTCCAGCAAAAAGCGACGAAGATTCTTCGAAAGCGTTTGAAAAGCAATGCTCGAAAAGTCTCGGTACCATTTTTTTCCTTTTTTTATTTTATACTATCTGTAAGCTTCTCCGTGAATCTAGGAAGAGGATCAGTTGGTTCGATTGACGAGATAAAAGGATGAACATCTTCGACCGGTGAATGATGCACGTGTTACGCGTAAACGTTACGTCGATGGTGATCGAATGTAAATGAACAAAAACAGTGAATATATGTATATATATAATATAATATAGTCTTCTGTGTTGCGCGCTTGGACCATGATTCGGAGCCGTGAACGACGACGAGGACGACGATAACGACGAGGATGATAATTAGATTTCCTTACGATTTCCGTTCAATGGCAGCCTTCAAAATGATATTCCTTTCCCAGAATCCCTGTATCTTCTCTCAATGATAATGTCGCACTTACATTTACCGCAGGGTCGACGAAAGTGTGCAGGCATTTTTGGAGTCCGTTTCGCGTATTTGTCCGATGATGCGCAAAGTGGCAGTCGAAGTTTACCGATCGTTTTAGTTTCTTGTGTTTGTTCGTCGTCGATCATCATCATCGTCATCGGCGTTATCATTACAGTCAGGGGATGGATCATCAACATCGGTCGATGGATCTTTCGGTCGTTTTGGTAGCCTGCTATTTTTATCTGATAGTGATGGAGAGTAGTAGTAACAGTAGCAGTAGTAGTAGTAGTAATAGTAGTAGTAGTAGGTGGTAGTAGGTGGCCTACAAGTGAGCGTACGTAACGAGAGTCTTATTATCGATCGGATTATGCAACGTGAACACACAATGACGTAGTTGCGTGGTACTGCGTACAGAAATATATTATTATAGTCTTTTAGTTTCGATAAAAAAGTTCAGTTCCCTCCTCGATTGATTTTCCATCTCGAGGTGGCGCATCTCTCTCTCTCTTTGTCTCATTCATTCGTTTCTTCTTTCTCTCTCGCATTTTCACGCTCATTCGTTCACTCTCATGCGAATTCTTTTATATTCTTTCATTATTTCTTTGTTTCTCTTATCTAACGCATTCTCTCCGTTTTCGTTTCCATCACGATCTTATTTATTTCTCTCTTATTCTCGTTTTCCTTTCTTTTTATCTTTCGATTTAATTTTCGTTTTCTCTTTCGCTCTCTTGTATTGTTTTTTATCACGTTTTTTCACGGGTTTCCCGTTCCCTTTTACGTTCCCTCTTCGTTTGTACAACGCAACGAACACACACATTTATATTATTTATATTATTTATATGTATATATATATGTATATATATATACTTTTTATATAATTATTATACATACGCAAACAAAGCCTTTCCCCTTTCTTTTTCTTTTATCTGCACGAGACTTCTTGGTCTGTCCTTTGTTTGCTGTTACGCTCGTTTTGTTCGATTCTATCTTTCATACATACATATATATATAGATTTCTTTTTCGTATATATATGTATATATATTTATATGCGTAGTATGCGTATAGGTATTCAGCTTCGTTTATCGTCAATTTATTTTTTATTTACTATCTTTGAATTGTTGAGTTCAATAGGAAAGGAACGTAGAACATTTTACTCTCGAGTAGAAGAGCTGCCGCCGATTGTACCTGGAATTCACCAGAAACAAACAAGGATCGAGATAAATTAAAGGGTTTCTTTCATTGTTCTGTCTGTCAAAGTTAAGAATTTCGTATCGGTAATTAATTATAACAATGGCGCTTTCAAATTACTTGCCTATTGCGTATCAAATGGCTGATAGGGAAGCGTACGAAGTATGACATTCGACATTGTATCATTTCACAGACTTTAAGCTTTAAGTTGATGCGAGACCAACATTATTTTATGTTAATTAATCTCATGAAATTTTGTTAGACTTTATATAGCTTATTCAAAATGGCTGACTGTTTAGTGTAAATTGCAATCAGATGTTTTTTTATAAAAAGAGAATCAATGAGATGCTTATGTAGTTATTTTCTATGTACTTTAAGCTTTAAATTGATATATCATAAGTGCTATTTAGTGACACTTTTATTTCATCAAATCTTGTCAGACTTTATAAGATTCAAAATGGCTGATTGTTGAACGTAAATTGCAATCAGCTATGTTTTATAAAAAAGACAATCAATGAGATGTTTATGTAGTTATTTTTTCTGAACTGTAAGCTTTACATTGATATATCATAAGCGCTATTTAGCAACACTTTTATGTCACCAAATCTCATCAGACTTTCTACATTTCAAAATTTGCTATTTGATATGCAACCAGCAAATGCGTCAGTACGCTTCGAATCAAAAGTTTGAACCCGAAATATCGATTATTTTTCCGTGTTTCGTTGAACTTACTTCAGGCAACCTGACGAGAAGATCGTGAAATCGATTCGGCTGTTGAGGCGCGCTGTGTTCGACAAAACTTCGCAGACAGCTCATGTACCGTTCTTGTAGATGCTCTAATTCCATTGTACCTCCACGTGCTAAGAGAGGACAAATACAAGAGAAAGTGTCGTGAATATGGTGTCGTTAGAAATTTGCGTACACTTATGATTCTCTTGGTCACGCTTTTGTGTCTAATGTTTGACTTCATTAATTATTCTTCTATTATGGATGAACTTGCACGTAATCACATATGGTTGGACAACTACTTCATTGTTGCTCGCAATCAATCGAACGTATTAATATTAACGGATGTTAAAAGCGGTTAAGGACATTTATTATATTGGAGAAGTTCAAATATTTAATTAACATATATTTTTGCATCAATTTTTTCGATGTAGCAACTTTCATATTTGCAAGTATTTAATGTATTTTGTGAGTGTTATTGTAACATTTAGCAGTGTTGTAATTATAGTATGTTGTCACATATGTAATATAGGAACACATGTAATATATGTGATATTATAATTGTACTTACATATGTAACATATGAAACTCATGTAGTATATGTAATATAATATAATTGTACTTTTATATATAACATATATATACAACATATGTAACATACGTATCATATGTAACATGTGTATTATATGTAACATATGTAACATAAATGAATACATACGTAACATATATGTATCACAGTATGTAATATACTAAATATCTTAGGTTAGGTTAGGTTACATACTAAATATGTTACATATGTAACATACGTAATACTATAACAGATATACTTTAGCAAAAATTTATAGACACACTCAAAGCAATAAAAATGTCATGAAAGATTTATTCATTTTAGCATAGTAATTAATAAAGCATTTTTACTCTCCATCTTTCTTAACAACTATATTTAACATCGAAGCAATTGATTTTAAGATTTATGTTCATCAGACATTTTTTACTTCTCTCGCTATGATTCATAGTCTCAGGTCATTTTCAAATGTCCCCATATTTTAAGCAAATTAATCATGATTAATTGGTACATACATTGATGACTATTATGAAATGAAATATCGTTCGAATGATCGCAAGCAACTCTACACGCTAATTTGTCAAACTTACATTTTGCTTCGCCAATTGCAGCATTAGCAAAAAGGATGCATTTCTTTATATTTTAAGTATCTCAATAGAGCGTCGGAAAGTATAGCAAGTTTTCCGATCGTTCGTTACGGTAATGTAAATTAATCGATACTTACCTTGCGAGAGCATGGTGATTACTTTCAGACAGACATACTCTTCCATCCGTAGCCTCACCCTCCTGAACATTAACGTGACGTACGTGATTTTTTCCACCATGAGCCCTACGTCTTGCTGTAATTGGTCCATGGTTATCGGTCGGCCCATCATGTTCGTTAGGCACGTTTGTAACGTATACATGTTGTTCGAAACCTGCACCAATACTTTTCTTTAACAAGTTATCACCTGAGATTACTTTAGAATTAACAACTCAATAACTATAACCACTCAAAATAATTACAACTATTTTCAAGATTTATTTATTATTTTCATTGCACAATCAATGTGCAAAAAATAAGTCTAAAACACGTAACTAAAAATATTTTCTGCCATACAACGTTATCGATGTCTCGAAAAAGTTCAATGTAAGAAATTGCCAAACCGTATTGTTCAGAAGTGAAAGTTCAGTATCGAATTGATTAGATCGGTAACAACGCAAAAAATTAAGAAAGTGAATTACTTCTTGCATAAAATCCGCCCCCATCACGTCGGAACCGACATTGGAGAACTTGTGCTGACCATGTATCGCTTGATAGGCGGAGGTGGTCAGCACCAGGATTTCGTGCCATTTGTGGGTGAGCAACGTCGTGTGAACTTCGACCGGTAGCTCAAGGTAAAAGGGTAACCTTTTGGTCCACTGCACCAACTTGTACACTATGCTGTCTCCTATCTGACACAGCTTGTCGCTTAGGTTTGATTTATGGTCCAGCAGCTCGTCCAAGTTCTATGGTACGAGAAAATCCCTTTTATTCAACATTTTTAAAATGCACCTAAAATTTTTATACTACTATTTTCACGCCAACATAAGATTTTGTAGGACTAGAGACCAAGTTGCTTAAAAAATTGATACTGGAAATTTTGAAATTTAGGGCTTGATAGACCTCAGTCTGAGTTTGGTTTATGAAGGATTTCTGTCGATAGAAAATTACTATTAACTATTGCTAATAAAATTCAGTTCATATAATGATTTGCAAGTCGGTTGAAAATCTGTGTCTGAAGGCACTTGTATGAATATTTGTAATTTACAAGAATTGAAAACTGTGATCAAACGGTAAAGACTTTGTTTCAAGTAGAACACCAGAGTCTGGATTAATTACGAATAAAAAATAGCTGTGTTTTCTAAAAATTCTCGAATTAATTTGTGTGTTAAATTGCAGCCTACAAGTTATTGAGAATAAAACGTACCCTTAACGTGGCGATATCTTGGAACTCGTCGCAGTCTATGAGGGACTGGATCATGGCGACGGTTGCATCGAAAGGGAACGATCGATCCCTCGAACTGCTCACTGTGTTGTCTAGCCTCTGTCTTAAATGTACCACCTTAAACAACAGAGATTGTGCACTTAGATTCGATACCCTTCGGAGGATTTATACGGTAGATTATAAGTAACTGTAATTAACGTGTTCCTTGACTCGTGGGTCAGCATAATCCCTATTTGTACTACGTCTCGTATGTGGGTCAGAGTCGTGATTCTAAGGTTATACACTTTTGATAAAGAAGGCAATTTATTAAGGGCATACATTACCTTCTATGAAGTATTTATACTGAATGTCCCACTTAAGTCATTTAAATTATTTTCATCGTTAGCTTACTGAAAGAAGTACGCAAACTGCGGCTTATTTAGTTTTGATATACAATTGAGAATAAAAATATGTCAGAACGATTTGAGATATTAATTATTATTTTTATCTGGTAATTATTTATAATTTAACTAAATATAAATAACCTCGTAAAATGTAATCGAAGAAAACGAGCAACATATACTTAGCGTAAGAAACACTTAAAGTTTAATAGTTTATTTTACTAGACTTCAGAACTAATTAAAGCTAACGCGGAACTGAAAATGTAGAATGTGATTTGTTTATAGAACACGCTTATTCCTTTTTAGAAAGTGAAATTGAAGAGTATCGCTGCGTTCGAAATCAGTTAGAAACGTGCGAAGGCATGGTTTTGCATATGAAAGTGTTTAAAAAATGGCAGAAGTTAAGAATAATATTACGTAATCCCTTCGTTAAAAAATTATTAGAGTTCCAGTTTGAATGAATACTTTCTACCAAACAACTATCTGATACTTCGCGTGATACGTTGGTTTTGCTGACTTTTATAGGCGAAATGGAAAATACGTTCTATGGTTTCACTTTTTAGTGTCTGTCGTAAAACAAATGATTTACTATCGTGTTTACTGCCTGTCACTCTTCCACCCGCGGAGCTGATTTTAGAGTGTCATTATCACGTCATGATAGGTTTATATATTCTTTGAAAATAAATATTTAAGCATTCTGCAATTTTTATATTATAAGCTTCTAAAACCCGAATTTCATAGTTATCAAATTTCTGAAGTTCATAGTTTTAAGTATTCAAATCTCTAAATTGTCAAATTGTCAAATTTTCAAATTTTCAAATTCCTAAATTCCGAAGTCTAAAATTCACCAGCTTAAATTTCTTAAATTTCCAAATTCTTCTTCGACATAATATCCACATCCACGTTAACCCATATCTTTAAGTCTTCCTAATGCCATCATCTTTATCTAAGAAGTCCAACAAAACGATAAAGAGCCAAATCTCCCCAACTTCGTCGACCAAATCGCTCCTGAATCGAACAGAGACGTAAAGTTAGAGTACGATCGCTCGTCATCCCGGTAGTTGAATAATTTCGATCGATCGATCGAAGAATCGCGAAGCGGTGCTTCCTACGTCAATCCGGCCTTTCACTGACCTTTCGGACCCGCTGGTACTTCCTCGAGGTCGATATTCGTCGTAGCAGACGAAGAGGGAGAGCGGCCTCGCTCGGCGATACCTTCGGGGAAAGCTGCGATCCTCACCTCCGCGGATATACCCTTAAGTTTTCTACACACGGTCGCGAACCGTGGGACACGTTCTCGTTGCTGAAGGCGATCGAGTTGGAGGTGGAGAGACGAAGGTGTTGGAGGAGGAAGAAAAGGAGGTAGGGTGAGGTCAGTGTCCCTTGTGTGCAGACTTTCACGAGTTACGAAACTGCCGGAGAACTGCCCGTCCTTGGCACCGGCTGTCGCTGATTTTCTATTGTCCCTACCTCGCAGTCCTCGTCATCGTCGCCGTGTTTCACCTGGTGATTCCTCTGTTCCACCTCCGCGGTTAACCCTAATCTAACCCATTACTACCCTTTCTTGTCAACGTCTCTCTTTTCGTACGTACTTCGTAACCCCTTTCGTCTTTGTGTTTTACTTTTCTGAATAATGGGTTAGTGATTAGTCCATTAATGGGTTAGTTAATGGACTGATGTCAGGCTAATATTGAGTTGATGATGATATCAATGAACAGGTGTCAAGCTAATATCAAACTAGTAATAATATCAATGTACTGATGTCAATTTGACATGAAACTAGTGTAAAAGGTATCCTTAAGTCGAATATCATTATTTTCATTGTAATTAATGGTATGAAAAAGTAACTGATGGGAAGATACATGAAGAGTGAAAATTTCAGAAATGTATATTAAAAGACGATAAGAAATGTTGAAACAGTATAACCTTCCATCTATTATCTTATTCGGTAGCCTGCATAATGTTATTCTTCAGTGAAAATAATTTAGATGTTCAACTTAGGTGACACCCTCCACATCAAGTGTACACTAAACTATCTATTATAAAGTACATATATGTCAAACTTTATATTACAAGCTATATTATAAAATATGTCAATTGTACATCATATTGTAAACTTTTGTAGTAATTTTTAAAATTAATATGTACAAGTCCTGGAGTTCCCTTGCAAAGTATTGTGCACGCGACACAAGATGAATTCAGGTCTAGTAGTCTGGGTAAATCTTAAGCTCATTTTTAAGAGAGAGTTTACTTTCCCTAAGTGAATGCAGACCTTTTCTTGTGAATGTAAAAAATTGTTCCTAATTGTTCCACATTGTTTTGCCAAAAATATGTGCAAAGCATGGAACATAATTTTTCATTCAGTCGAATTTCCTTCTATTGGGTCATCTTGTGGTGTGAAGAATTTCAAAAGCCTTCCATGCATCTTTTAACTTTGTAACAGATTTATGATACATAATTTCAATCTTTAGAACATGAAAGAATCTGAGACGTGTTTCAAAGTACGATAAGACGAATAAAATCATAATAATTCAGTAGAAGTAGTTATTTTATATTGTAAATTAAGGGGAATTAGATAGTGATCATACTAGCACGAAAAGGTGTAAGTCTTTCCTCGAAATTCTAGCGCAAAAGTTCATGTTTTGAAGAGAGTATCCGCGTTTTGCAGCGACATGCAATGATTCGGCCGGAGATGGAAAGTGACCTCCTTAATGGAGCTCCACCGGCAATATTTATCCGGTCCTCGAGTCATCGATTTCACTTTTGGCAATGGCCTCTAGCGGGCCGACTGTTCCCGGTAATTCTTCTCGTTGTTTGCATACCTCACGTGCTCGACGCGCATAACAACATCGATTAACCTTTATTATCGCCGGCGATAATACCACGCACAGTAATCCGCGTTTAACATCGGCGTGAACTTTCGTGCAACGAGTTGCAACTAGAGATCGAGTACTGGTGTGGTGCAATAAATTAGAATCTGAGTGGAGATTTTCAGATTTGTGTGCTTGGCGAATTTGGGAGTTGGGACTTTGGGGATTTGGGGAGTTGGGAATGGGAAGGTGGTTATTTTTAGATTTGGGGATTTGGGGATTTGGAGATTTAAGGGACTTTAGGGAGTTGGAGAATTAAGGAGTTAAGGAGTTAGGGAGCTAGGGAGTTAAAGATAAGGAGATTTAGGCATTTAAGGAGTTAGGGAGAGGGAGACTTAGGAAGTTAGGGATAGGGAGATTTAGGGATTTAAGGAGTTAGGGATAGGGAGATTTAGGGATTCAAGGAGTTAGGGATAGGGAGATTTAGGGATTTAAGGAATTGGGGATAGGGGGATTTAGAGATTTATGGAGTTAGGGATAGGAAGATTTAGGGATTCAAGGAGTTAGGGATAGGCAGGTTTAGAGATTTAGGAATATAGAGATTTTGGAGTTTAGAGACATAGGTGTGTAGAGATTCGGGGATGTACGAATTTAGGACTATAGGAATTTGGTTGTTCTAGGATTTAAAGATCTGGGGATCTGGAGGTTTGGAGATTTGGAGATTTGGAAATTTAGGAATTTAGAAATTTAAAGATTTGATGATTTGGTAATTTTGTGGTATGGAGACTTAGAGATTTGGAGTTTTGGAGTTGTGGCGATTTGGAGATTTGGAGAGTTGGTGATTCAGGAATTTATAGATTTAAAGATTTGATGATTTGGTGATTTATTCAGTTTATAGTATGGAGACTTGAAGACTTGCAGTTTTGGAGATTTTGAGATTTGGGAGATTTAGTTTAAGGTTATTTTTCATCGTCGAAACGTAACAGTTGCGACCACACAACGAACACTTCCATGGTGTTAAAGATAATATAATGCAGGTTTAGAAGAGCACGAAAAAGCATGCGAGACAACGACGACCAGTCGGCTCTCGAACTGCTTACTCGTTGTATCTATTGGCTTTCGTAATGTGGGAAACCTTGAAGCTTGCGCAAGCGGACTCGTAAGAAAGTGAAATTGCAACGGAGAGTTCATTCATTTCAGGATCGTTTTGCTGAAAACAGATTGAAGTTACCCGAATCTGACCGCTTTTCTTTATCGCGTCGTTTTTCTACCTGTATCACATTTTTTAGCCTTTTTACCATTCGAATGGTACACAAACTTCTTATACTTTCACAACGTGATAAGTATGAAACGTTTTTATTTAAATTTACGTCTTATGAGGTAAAGTCGAGTATCTTGTTTAAACTTACGCTGAAATCTTTTAAGATTATGAATCTTTATGTTGGTCGATTTTTAAATTTTCAAGTTTCCAGATTTTTGCTGTTACAAATTTAAAAGATTTTATATTGGAAAATTCTTTTTCGAATATAATATATAGATATTTGAAATCCTGAATCATTAAATTATCAAATCCTTGATTTCCAAATGTCCTCATTTCCGAGTTCCCCAAATATCCCCAAAGAGAACGACCATTGCGCCAACCGCAAACTACACAGAAAATTCCGCGATTTCATAAGAAAATAACTTTTCCTTATTCTTAATGAATTATCTATAATTTTATTGCAAATTCATCTGATACGAGAAACGTACTTCAACACGAATATATGTTATTAACGACCTCATAAGAGTTGCAATATTTTGTATCTGTTTCCGACAAAAAGAAAAATTCATACGTGTTTCACAAGTGGTAGATTCGAAGTGTTAATTTCACCGGGTGAAATGATCATCCCGCGATTTAGATCGATTTACGAGATTAAACGGTGGAGATAAACAGCGGGTAGCCAAGAGAAAGAGCGTGTACACGGGGTCTCGAATCTGTAGCGAATCCAGAGGGAAGAAAGATTTCGACGAAGCATGTGATCCTCGATCGCGTGCAGCTGCTCCGAAAGTGAAAGTAAAGATGCCTTCAGGACGTTCTCATCGACGCTGAATTCTCTCGCGAAGAGATCAACTTTTGTCGACCCGAGCTCGATTTCTAGCGAGCCGACACGAATAAATCACTGGAATCGTTGTTACGTCGCGGACGTTGATCTATATGCGCTCCGACCAAAGAAGAGGCAGTAAAAAAAGAGAGACACACACAGGCAGAGGGAAGGATGTTTCGCACGTAGAATCGGCTCGTTAGATAATCGGTTTGATGGAGCTGATAGAGAAATCCCGTGGAATCTGTTGATGCAACGCGAGCTTGTACGAGTTATCACGCAGGAACATCGCGTGAAATCGAATGTGTTGCGTCACTCGCCGCGAAGAAATGATCAAACCGGTAGAAAAACAAGTGGAAATTACTTTACTCGTTTCGGAGTTTCACTGGATACGCGGTTCCCTAGGGAAATTCGTGGTGGAGGAACTCCGCGATGTTGACGGGGAATCTTTGTAACGATAATTAAGTAGATTTTCATGTCTTCTTTATACACTTTTTTTTATTTGGAAATTTATGATTTTCTTAATTAAGTTCTTAATTTTTCGAATTTAGGGAGTTTAGAAAATTAAAAATTTTCAAGTTTGACAATTTTATATCTTTTAAATTTTTAAGTGGTCAAATTTGAAATTTCTTATCGAAAAAAAACCTACATCTGGATATACACTGTATACATATGTACAAATATGCATACATGTGTACTCACTTCCGTCAACATATAATGGAAAATGTACAACCTCAAAATAAATCTCGATCGCGAAACAAATTCAATTATTATCTCCTGTTGTATTACAAATAATTTTATATTTATGCATAATAACAAGTCTAACTAGTATTTAAATATCCTGCATAATAACATTTCATCATGACACTCAAAGCTTCCAAATTATGCTGATAAAATAATCACGTGTGCATTGAAATCGAATATACTGGCAGCGCCAATAAAATAAATACACACTTTATTATTATGTAATTCAATGGTCGAAACGAGCAGGGGTTAAATTGATATAATACGTGTTTCAAAATTACAAATATTAAAAATTATCTTCATTAACATGCACGTTTATTATCTCAATTATTATTGTGCTTGAAATTTTGATAAAGTGTTTACTAAATATTAAAGAAATGCAACTTGTACTGACAACAATTTTTCAATTTATATTAATAAAATTCATTAGAGTTTATAGCATTTATTATATTCGTAAAATTCATCAATTTATATTCATAAAATCTGTAAATATCCATAAAATTCATCAACTTATATTCATAAAACTCCTCAATTTATGTTGATAAAATTCATTAACTAATATTTATAAAGTCCATCAATTTACACTGATAAAATTCAACTTATATCCACAAAATGAATCAGTTTATGTACAACAAAATTTGTCGATTCTTATAATCTTATAACCACCCCTTCAATCACGACCGCCCTAACAGAATATCTTCACTCGACCTAATAATCAAGAACTACAAAAATGCAACCTAATAATCAAGAACTACAAAATTAGACCTTGAATCCTTAACCCGAAGAAAAACAAGACAAGAAAACTATTCAAAAAAATGATGAAAGAAGTATTTAAAGTACTTACTTCGGAGGGGTTGGTAAGCGCCGTCTTCAGGATCGTACCGTTAACAAGGTGGCCCGAATGTGCAGGGTGACTCGAGTGACTGGTGGTAGATTGTGAGTTGAGCGGGTCGCCCGACGAAATTTTATGATGGTGGAGAAAACCACTGGCTAACTGAGCATGTTGCTGTTGGCTATGGTGTGCGACTGCAGCCACAGCCATATGCTTTTCGAGCATCGTCGAGCCCATGGTGTTTTTATTACCACCAAGGGATCCCGACCCGTTAACGCCACCAACGTTACCGCCGCTACTCATGCCACCCATACTTCCACCCACTCCGCTTGCTTTGTTACTTTTCTTGTGCTTTTTGTACTTCACCTGAACAAATATTTCCTTTATTATATCAAATATTATATTATATATTTTATGTGTGGAACATTAAATTAGATACATTATTAAATAACGATTGAAACTTATTTTCAGAAACAATAACAAGACTCTTCATTTTCAGGTTGGTTTTCTGCTTTTTCATACTTTATGGAACTTTTCTCGTATTTTATGGTTATAGTAATATTGAAGAACCTTACTAAAACTCTCAAGTTCTAAAATCCACAAAATCCTAAATTCTCAAATCCTCCAATTTCGAACCCTTAAAATTTCGAATCCCCAAATTACCAAATCCCTTAAATTTGAAAATCTATCACCAAAAAATTAGAGAACAGCCCCCTTCTCCCACGTTTCAAATTCTCCTAGAGAAGTCCACCATGCAACCAATACACATATTCTAACTATCAAGTGCTTCGAGTGTTCAGAATTGATTATCGCACGTAATGTATCGCTTCAACAAAAATAATGGAAAGTAGCAAGTAAATGTGAAGTGAGGTTAATACATACCTTGTAAAGGTTATACACAGCACCAGAATTTCTTCCTCCAGGCATTCGATCCTCTCGAACGGCCTGAAGAACCATACCCTGTTCAATGCACTTTTTGAAGCGACAGTACTGACACCTGTTCCTTTGGGCTTTCGTGATTTCGCAGCCACCTTCCGCCACGCACGTGTACACCCGCCTATTTTGCACGGTTCTCTTGAAGAAACCTTTACACCTGCGCACAAATAATTCATACCCTCTTACACTTCATTCCATGAGTTTCTTCACCAAAATTTTTACGTTTCTCTCATTTACTTTTTTAACATTCTATTACATTCGATTGTGTACCATTTCTGATGCATTTTGTTGCAAATATAAAAAACAATATTTCACGAACTGGATTTTGTCAAATATTAATTATTAGCAAAATTATTGAAAAAAAATTTGTTGAGAATACTAGATTAAACTAGAATACTAAACTAAATTTTACAAGAATATGCAAAACAAATTTTTTAGCGATATCTCCAACGAATTTAATCGCGAAAAGATCTCTTCTCTAGGTAATTAATAGTCCAAGCGAAGCATCATAATCAAATCAGTAATCTACATATCTCGAAATACCCAAGCCGGTTAGCACGTCTTCCGGCAATGCGTAACACGACAGAGATTCAGAGGATCCGCTTAATTAGAGATAATTACACAGAACTATGTAAGGAAAGTTAGTATTACACGACCCTAAAGGGAGGATCACGGCGAACTATGACCTTTGGGTATCCTCGAATTGCACCTGCGTGATAGCATTGAACTATATCGTTCGAGCAATATATTGTTTCGAGTGTCTTCGAGGTTAATGCGTCACAGTTCAACTATGAATGTAGATACATAGATATCCTCCCACGACGCAAAACAACTCTCTCTGTGTGTCATCGTTTTCTCTTTCAAGATACTCGTAACTCGATACGCTATCTTTTTTATTCTATCGTTGCTTTGTCCTTTGTACGCTTTCCACCCTCAAACGAACTCGATCGTACTCGTCAATCTCTCGACGCTGAATTTTTCAGTGGTACAAAAGTATCTTTGAAATGGAGTTTCGGAAATGATCACTTTGATAAACCTTTTTCACAAATCAAGTAATCTTGACAATTTGCGGTATACATACTTTAGCTGGCAAATTGTTGGAAGTAATGTCTCTTTAGTTTTTAGAGATTATGCATATCAAATTGTATTTGATGTTAAAACAAGTGATCAAAGTTGATGAAAGCTACTTATTGATAATTTATTGACTTATGATTATCTGATAATCATTTCACATGTCCAATTTCGTCACCAAAGTTCAACACTAATAAAAAGTTAACATCGTTACATCAAATTTCCCGGTGGGTAAAAATGTACCACTTCTCGAAGCTAATAATAGCGGTCTTTCAACAAGGTGAACTGAAAAGCGTATTTCAAGGTGTATCTCGTTCTAATATATCCAGCGACACGGTTGATTAGTTTCTAAAGTCACAAGAGGGTATCGTTATACTGTTTTGCGTCAGTTTATCCAATGTGTATCGTCGTATCCAACAAATCCGGCAAATTAGTTGAGAAAAGTCGACGACGAGTTTCTCTATGCATCCCAGCGTAGCCGTAATTCTGCTAGTATGAATGTTTAATCTGTTTCTAGTACCGACCCGGTCCCCCGAGAAGCGGGAAGCAAACTTTCAAACTTAATTCGTCCGACAAAAAACTCGTAATGACTAATCGCATCATTCGCTTCGTTTCGTTTCAAAATTGTGTTAAATTCGCAAAAATAAGCTTCGTTTCAATACACAGTAATTTGGCTGTGTTTAATATTAAATGAGCTAATTATTAATTCTAAATAGGTATCATTCATGTATTTAGATTTCTGGATTTCTATATTCAAGATTATTTCTAGATCGTTATACAGAGATACCTAGACACCCACATTCTCAAATCACAAAATCTCTGCATTACTAAATACACATACTCATATGTGTACTTCTCCATATCTACATTCTCAGATCACATATCCCTTAATCCCCATATCTCTAATCACAGTTCCGAATAACTCCAACTACTACGAACCTACTAATCTACCGATATATTAACAAATACTTAAGCACCCCAAAATTGCATACGAGTAAAATAAACTTACCCTTCGCACGTGATGATACCATAATGCAAACCAGTAGCCTTGTCCTCGCAAATCATGCATATCATAGGCGTCTCGTCTTCCTCGTGTTCCTGAGGTGGCATAGGTGGTGCAGGGGGTGCGACCGACAGCGACTGCGACGCCGACTCGGACTTGACAACACCTCCGTTCCTCGCCCACGTTTGACCGGAACCGGAAGCCGTCAGGTTCAATGCCTGCATCTGTTGCGCAGCCGGTAGCTGCGTGAGCTCGCTGGCCCATAACCTCTCCATGTTGAGCGGAGGGCCGGACGAGTAGGAAACAGAGGGTGGTTTGCCCCTGGACTCTTGCCCGAGGTTCAGGAGCAGCTGAGCAGCCGACTCCTCCGACGAGGAACAGGATGCTGCCGCGGCCGTGGTGGTCCACGATGCCGCTGGCGGTGGTACGGGATCCAAAGGTGGCGCTGACCATATCATCGTTCTGACGCCACCGATTTCGCCCATGATCACCGTCGGTGGTGGTCGCGGGGGTGCCGGCGCG